TCCTGCAGCCACCGGGCACGTGGCAGCTGGGCTGGAGGGAAGAGGTTTGGGTCTGGTGGCATGACACGAGCGTGAAATGGTTTTGGATCATGCATGTTTGAACCAGCTGCTGTTGCTGCCCCCCGGACGCCTCAGCTGGAGACACATATTGTCTAAAACCTCTGCAAAGGGCTGCTGGGGGCAAGAAAAAATAATTCAACAGCAGACGTCTCACTTGGGCAGAAGTGAAAGGTTCCCTTCCCCTGCTCCATCCGTGGAGCAAGGAAAGGGCCCCAGTCCCTGTCCTACAGAAGCCCTCTGGACACCTCGGAGGGAGGCATCTCCCACCATTGCCCCTATCCACAGACACACACAAGGACCTCTTGGACACTTCTTCAACTGACCAATGTGTCCCCTCCCCCTGCGCTGGCTGTGTCCCCTCGAGAGCGCCTCTGGTCTGCACCTTCTGATGCTGACAGAGTGGCCTGCTCCCCACAAGTAGTATAACCCTTGGTATCTTAAATACCATCTCTAACTACTGTCGGGAACGAAGGCAGAATTCAGACTTCTACTCTCCATGAGCCCTGATCATACTCGGTACCCACGGGAACACCCAACTGTGCTCACATCTCCAGCAGCCACTCTAAGGTTTGCATTTGGATTTATCTTGTACATAACCAAAAAACCCAAATCTGCTTTTTCCAGGCACCTGAGGAGCTGCCGACCCCATGGCCCTGTGAACCTGCCCGGCACAAGAGGACCTCTAAATTAGCTGTCCCCCAAGATGTTCCTCCAAGAAACCCGACCGGCTCCAGCAGGAGAGTTTTGCCAAAGAAAGCATTTCCTTAGCAGATCCACTGGATTATTCCTGTACCTCCAGAGATGGGCTATGACACACTACTGGCAAATGCTAGCTAAATGCTGTAAGCAAGTACTGAGTGTCATCCTTTCAAGCCAGATTTAGAATTTTCCTGTCCAGAAATACCCTAATACGGCAATTATGTGTTTCGGAGCATGGGAAAGACCCTCTGAACCCAACAGCAAATGGTGACAGAGGACCTTAGCACTGCTTTACAAGGCTAAGGCTGGGGGTTGTCCCCGCGTGACTGCTCAGGGTTGTGAGCTGGGAAGACAGGAAGCACTTGATGCAAGGTGGTGGTGGTGGCAGGTTGGAAAAATGACAATTTTTGGCCCTGATGAGTAGCAGAAAGATTAAAGGTATGCAAGAAAGACCTGATGTGTGCTGGGGGAGTAGCATGACCGCATGCCAAGAAATGTGCGCTAGGGGATAAATTAACACAGATCAAGATGCTCCTGAAGTTTCCTCATAATACTGTGCTCTCTCCATCTTCCATGTCTGTGATCTATGCAGTAGGTATGAAATGCTAAATTAATTTTCATTTGGAGATAATTTTTTTCAGTTAGAATTTCCAAATTTGGAAAAGCTGGTGGATGCATCTCTTCAGACATAGTGCTGGTGGACATTAGGGAGAATAAATCTGCAGTTCAGATGGTGGAAACTGACGTTTTTGTCCAGCTCTTGGAATGACTGCTAATGGCAAACCCATTTGTACAGCTTTATACTCAGATCAGCTCTGGGAAAGTTCATTTACAATAAATCCACTTCCCTCTCCCTCCATTTTGTGCAACATCACCCCTTATTTATGGTAGGAGGATCTGAACCTCTAAGGAGAACAACTGAAAGAACATCACTTGAAATCAAGAAGATTTGGAGCATTTCCTTCTGACCGAAACTTTGAAGTCTGGGCACAGGCTACACACTTGCTGTCGCCAATGACTCTTTCCTGCAAGTAGAGGTTAAATAACCCATCTCTTGTAAAAGGGAGTCCAAACGCTGGAACATGAGCCTGAAATGCGTGCCTATGTTCATGAAAAACACACATGCATGAGAATCATCGAGAACCTGTTTGGCAAGAGCAGCAGCTTACAGTTTAACTGCTTTTGGAAAGGTTTCCCTATGCCTATCCTAAGTCCCCAAAACAACCCATTTCATTAACAATCACTGCAAACACATGGATCTGCTACACATTATTCCTTTAATCTCTATGGAAACTGATTTTATTCTATTGAATTTAGGTGACTAAGTATCATTAAAACTCTGACTCAAAAATGTAAGTGGGCATCTTGTAGGATTTTGCTGTGTGCCTAGGTGCTTAAATTCCTATTGAAATTTAGGCAACTAGCTGCTTTTTCCAAATCCCATGAAAACATCTATCAGCATCACTACGAACTAAAATACTTCTGAAGAATCTGGTGCTTTTACCTTCTGCACTCAGGTAAAAGAGAAGCAAAATGTTTTCCTTTTTGATCTGTTCTAAATTTATAGAGACCTACATTTATAATTGTTTACAGTCACTGATTTTCCTTCCTTAAAGATTTTTTTATACATAGGAAGAGGTGATAGTGGCAATTCTTTAACTCTTAGAGCTGAGAGTACATCCTTTTGATTACAATAAAGGCTTTAGGACAAAGAATATATATTTCACTTCAGTCTTGAAAATAGATCCATCTACAGCTCACCAAAATTCTGACAGGATACCTCGACACTGGCTTTAGTAGCTATCTGCACAAACTGTACCCTCGTTTGAAAGAGTTTCTGTTCCTGTACGATGGCACTCTTGTGATGTTCGGCTGAGGGCCGAGTGTTTTGGGAAATGCAAATACTTTCTCCAGTCAGCATCTTTTCCACTCCTCTTTGATTACCAAAAAAATGGAGCAATTTCAGCGAGAATGTACTCCATCGCAATGCACATTTTGGAACAATTCTGCAACGATAAGCAGCTGTCCATGCTCAAAAGCTCTGTTCCCTACTTACAGCACTCCCTGTGCTATCTGGTTAATTTGTACCTACCAAGCTTTCTCTTCAGTGGACAGCAGACTGTACACTTTGTTTTTATGTTGGTCACGGCTGGGATTTTGTGGACTAACATTAATGCTGGTAAATATCAGTTCCAATAAAGGAACACAGAAAGAGTATATCTACATTTCTAACGATTACAGTACTCTTAAGAATAATATTAATGATGAAAGTGTGAAGATTCACATTCATGAGTGCTTTAAAAATGCAAAAAAAATCAAGAACACTTGCACATTAAAATTTGGCACAGTGTGAGCCTAAAGCATGCATAAAGCATATGGTAGAGTTGTCTGACTTTAAACACCTACTCTGAACAAACATCTACTTAAAATCATAAATTTGAGTATAAAAACTAGGCTATAAATTGTTACACTGTAAATGCAATACTTTGAAAAAAATGCCACGTGGAAAATGCTTCCAGAAGTTTCAAGTTTGCATTTAATATTAGAGAAAAAAAAAAAAAAAGGAATAGCAAACTACTCATACAACGACATTTCCTATGGTGGAATGTCTTGCAGGCCATATGTGACTTGATATGGCAACTTCAAAAAAAAAAAAGAAATCACTGGTTTACTACAGATTTTTGTGAAGCAGTCAATTTATGGTTTCTGTATTTCAAATCTGCTCATGTACTTTGCTCAGAAGGCATTTGAGCTGGCACGTATATTTCATAAGGAAAGAAGTAAAGGCACTCACGTTTCCAAATGTAAAACTCAACCTACTCTAAGAGTCTTTGCATTTCTGAAGGGAAACTAAGCCGTCATACTAGTTACCCAACTCTAGTTTCACCTCCTTTCCAGAGCTCAACTGTGCTTCTTGAGAACTACTTGACTCTTCAAAGCAAAGGAATTTAAAGTAGTACTGTACAGCTCCCCATCACTTGAAAAAAACAGAAGTATTGCATGAAAATGTCTCTCAGCAGAATTGTTTTATGCACAAAAGCCTTAAGTATGGCCATTACAGTCACAAGAGGGAGGAAAACACCAGAACAACCTAGGAAGTTAATCTATGTTCATACATATGAGCGTCTCAACACTTCTGAGAAATCTTTGCAGTTAGCTATACAAGATAAATAACTCTGATAACTCTGATGTTTTACCCAATGCTCTCTCTAGAAGAGAGTCTGATGCTGTCTATTGGGTAGTTTTCTAAATAGCCAACTTTACATTCGAAAAATAATGATTACTGATTTCTTCCTCAAAAGGTTTTCACATGCAGAGTCTGCAGTCTGAAAGTGCAGAAAAGTGTACAATCATTTAGCTTTCCAATCTGGAACAGACAGATAAAGCAAAAAAACAACATGCGAAGTCACAGCAAGGTGTCAGGAAAAGGGAAGAAAAGAGAAAGCTGACTTTAGTAGCATCCTGGTCCATGATTTTGTCAATGAAAAGTCTTAAAATATGGCTGATAGTATTTTTAAAAACTATTCTGCAATCACCAATGGAAAAAATAATCCTGTATTAACTTCTACAATCCAATGGAACATTAAAAATAAACCTATCCAGTTAGTCCTGGATGTATGCAACAGAAATAAAGGTCACCCTCCTCAAAGAAATATGGAAAGTCCAAACCAACAGACAAAAGTTGAAGCAGCGACAACTTGCATTCTACCGGGTAAGTTTAAGCATCTCTTTAGGCACTTCACTGGTTCATTAAATGCAATACAAAATAAAGCTATAAATATCAACATTTTGTGCTCTTAAAAATCAGTCAAAAGCAACAGAAAGCAGCACAAAAGTGTGACATTTTTGGCAGCTTATTTCTTCCCTTCCCCAATGTTACTGGTTGTCCAAGAATGCTTTGTTTTGGGGATGCTTTGGCATCTCAGTATCTGGTTGTCTTAAGCCACAAAACCTGAAACAAAACTGCTAGGCCTTAGACAATAAAGAAATTTGGTTTTTAAATTTCTTTATGGCTATATAAGAAGGACACTTTAGCAGTGGCATGATAGGGAAAAAAAGCTTGCTTTCTTTTTAAATATTGCACTTTTCTTTTGTTCACTCACACTAATGCATAGAAACTTTTTAAACTTTGAATATTAAAATTTCATGCTATGGAAAAGTTATGGGAAATAAATTTCTATACATCCAACATGAAAGAACAGATATGCTAACCTTCCTTTACTTTCCTTAGTTAAAACATTGAGAAAGAAGAGAGTGCAAAAAAACCCACAACCCTATTTTTGGTCAGCCTGTGTATTAACTTTATAGGTGCCAACTAAACAAATGGCAACATGTGATGAGCATGGATACTGGAAGGAAAACTGAGGGTGACTGCAAGTAAAACAAGATTATGCATGATTGAAACACAGAGGTGTGGCTGAAATGGCAAATTGCGAAGCCTCTTCTCTTGGGAAGGGGCATGACAAAGCAGATGAATTTTGCACTTCAGTAGCATGCTGTAGGATTTACCATGATTAATTTCACATTAAAGTGTGCTCGATGTTTGCACCCACATCTCGCATCACCTGCAATTGCTGTAGTAAGACAGTGACTGGCGAGCAGTCTCCAGGAGACACAGAAGAATCCAGTGGGCAATTCAATGCAACGCAGCCCGCGCGTCTCTGTCACGAGTCACGACGTGGTGGGACGTTCTCAGGACAGGCAGAACCCATCTCCTGCTGGACTCCACTAATCTGAAAAATGATTGCTTGGAAAAAGAAGTCTCTAAGCACTTCACTCTGGTGCTTAAAGGACAAAGCGCTGGGATTGGATAGAATAAAAACAGTTTCAGGATCCTGACCACTGCGCAGAAATCCAGCTGGAAACAATGCAGAGTAGTGCTCCTCAGTGTTACTTTTGTTATCATTAGTAATGTTAAGCATCAAGAAAATAAAACACATCATTGCACATTACAGCCGTCAGTAAGCACGGCTAAACTTTGACACTAGAGAATTGAATAACCTGATGCTACATCACAAACAGCTTCTGGTGTGTATCTATTTCGAAAGGTCTTTACAAACTCAGTAAAAACTCCTTACTCCTACCCAGCCAATGTTTCAGGTTAAGTGACGAGTTATGGCACGAAGGGCATACAGAAGTTCGGCTTGCATACGAGCTTCCATTAGAAGTAGATTGACATGAACCTGTTAAAAAGTAAACCAGCCATTTAGTTCCCCTCTGAAAGCAACATCGTTTATTCATTTAGGCTAGAATTTCTAACCTTTAGTAAAGCGTAGCTGCAAAAAACCATGTCCTTCCTCCCTGTACCCTGCTGCAGGACTCCATTTCCTCTTGAGGCAACTGTGTAGTGTGGCAATGCTAGACAACAGCATAGGACTGCAAGGAACTATCCTCCACTGCTGCTTTAAGCAATCTTCCATCTGAGAAGTCCCACTAAACACATTTTTGTATCCTAATAATACTATTCTTTATGAATTATATTTTGTTTTCTTTACTACCACCTGTGACTACCATATAGGAGCACAGAATAAGGAAAAGTTTACATGCCAGATAGGCCAGCAGGCACACAAGCACTGAACCCTTGAGAGGAAGCATTTAACTTGGGTATCTGAAGACATGTTGACATTTTTATTGATGAAAAACACCATGAAGATTAAATATATATATATGAGTTAAGGTCTTTTTTGATCCTCATGTCCCAAGTACTGGCATAGTTGAGCACTCTGCATTCCCAAGTTTATCCACTTTTCTTTTACAGTTTTTGGTTCAATTTCATGGAGAAGTCACTTAAAATAATAATAATAAACGAATCAGTATACTTCCAGTATACTGATTTTTGTCAAATTGATACATAACACTCAATGAATTAATCTCATTTGGTTTTCTCTGGGTAAAAACGGTTTGCTGGACAGATACTGCCATTTTTAGATTTCATCATATTTTAATTTCTAAATGGCACAGGGGTCTCCGTACAGTTCAGCTGTGCAATACGTACCTTCTCCGAGTGCTTGAACTGACGCCAGTAACTGTCGTACATGCGCTTGGTAGTTCTCTCCGGATAGCAGGTCACTGTCTTTATGTAAACCTTCAGGCTGCGTTCAAGTAACTGATTAACTTCTCCATAATCATAGTCATCATACCTAAGTAACACAGGCAAATATAAGTTTTCAAAAGCATGATCTTTTGCAGCATTATGTTTTTAAGTTTAGCAATTGGGGCATTTATTACACATGCTAGAAAACCACCTGCTAGAAGAGGATCTGAAAGGCTTAGTACTGGGATGTTGTCTTTTCTGAACAAAGGATACACGCCAGCTTCAGAGAAGACATATCTGTAATAATTTCCATCCTGACTCATAATAATTTTCTCCACAGGAAGCAAAAGTTATACTGATATGCCAGCAAAACCACTTTAACTTACAGATTGAGGAACTATTTCCACTTTAACACCCGGAGTCTAAAATCATGCTTTTCATATGGTTCATTTTTCATTCTGATTACACAACTTAAAATACACTCCTAAGCCAGAGGATTTTTGTCCATACCTGATTCCATACATACAGTGGACATAGTTAAATAAAGCTCTTCTTAGCGTAGTTGTATCAACATCTTCATGTGTTGCCATAGTGTTATAGGTAAGGTTATATACCATCCGAAACTTCTCATCCAGGAGATGCCCAATATCAGAATAAAGCCTGTTTACAAGGGAAAAACCATGATTTTCCCAAGTATAGTCCTGCAGGAAGAGAAAGAAATATACAAATGTAAAAATAAAGTGAAGTCCCTATCTGATCCTCTCTATAGCTCAATAGTTTTTGTTGTCTGCTAGTTATAACTTCATTCTCTTAAAAAAAGTTGAATTTTGATTCCTTCATCAATATCTCCTGCTCCATTTGCCCAGACTTCCTGGCAATGAATATCGTACCACAACACCCCACCTCTAGCTGGATATCACAGTCTACAGGAGAAAATCCCCAAGCTTCTCCTGAATTGCTGAGGCAACTTTCCACTGTCTGCTGTGCCACCTCCACTAGTGTCATTCTATGTGGGATGGGCCAGTAAGTTGAAAAACTTGTTCGTCTTGGAGGCTTTGGTGCTTAGCTCTGAGCAGAGATTAATATTTACTTCCAGTCAGGAGGTACAATCACTGGGTAAAGTGCTGAACTGTCCTTGAACAAACTACTAAAATCCAGGCTGCCTTGGTCTTAGACAAGCAGCTGGATTACACGGATTAAAGCTTGCCTGCTCATTTCAGGAATGTGAAATCTCTGCAGAGTGGTGGCATGGCATCAGCAGTGGAGAACGACCCCGCTTCAGAACAACGTGCAACCACTCTCCATGCTGCAGTTATACAGAACGTGTTAATTTGCCCACATCCTTGGCAAGTGTTCAATCACTCAATCACTGATGCCATCTTTACAACCAAGGGCATCATCTCCATGTCCTTCTGGTGTCTGGCTGTTTTCAAAAGGCACTGCTGGGCACAGGTCTTCACCCAGGCACCTTAGATCACATCTGCTGGTCTGGCTCCCTGATCAGGATAGTGAGGAAGAGTACGGAGGACAATATTCAGCTGCTTAACAGAGGCATTCAGTGACATTTGAAACATACCACAACATCACACTTGGCCTCCAGCTGCCAGTCCAAAAGACCAAAAGGCTTGTGAGACATGTGCTGTACCTACCAGCCCCGTAAAGGTGTCCAGGACACCTGTGGCATCACAAAAGCCTCTGAAAACCAGAAACCCCAGGAGGGGCAAAGTACTGTTTATTAACAGCAGTTAGTCCATGCTAACAATGAAAAAGGAAAAAAGAGTTTAAAAACATTCTGTTGTGTATGGAGTACTTCTTTCTATTACTAAATTTAAGCCTAGAAAGATAAAGGCAGTCTTGTTTTATCAGAATAAGGATTGGATTTACTGCAGGGTTTTGGGATGTTACTGCAATTTAAACAGCATTAATAGCAGAGCATTTGGGAGGCTGTAGATATATACATCTAACTGCTTAAGAGTAGGACATACTAACAAAGTTAAATTATCAAGGTGACTCCTTTGAATGTAGGCCAAAAGCTGTCCTGTTTATTTAAGAGCAGAGACGTTTTAGATCCAATTTCAACTTCTGCAGAGCTTTTTTTCCATGGGAGCCTGCTGCTCCTAAAGTAGTTAGGCAGAATGTTTGATTTACAGCCACTGGCTCTGTATTAGACTTTTTGGCAATATCTACCTATTTTAGGCTCATATAAAGACCGCAGAGTAAATTATCCAGATCAGCAGAGACTGCTATATAGCTAAATACATTTCCTGAGAGTGATCATGGATTCTTTATTTTACAGTCTTCGATACATCTTCTGACCATGACATCTTCCTGCACCCACTGTTTTTTTAATTGAAGCTTCTGATTTCATAGAACAGAATCATAGAATGGTTTGGGTTGGAAGAGACCTTAGAGATCATCCAGTCCAATCCCCCTGCCATGGGCAGGGACACCTCCCATCAGACCAGGTTGCTCAAAGCCCTGTCCAACCTGGCCTGGAACACTTCCAGGAAGAGGGCATCCACAACTTCCCTGGGCAAACTGTGCCAGTGTCTCACCACCTCACAGTAAAGAATTTCTTCCTAATATCTAGTCTAAATCTACCCTCTTCCAGTTTAAAAACATTTCCCCTTGTTCTATCATGATTTGGTTTCAAATTTCTTCTGCTGCTTACAATTTATTACTAAACTGCCGAAGTTTAGTATACTTCTATAAGCTGAAAGAGAGCCACCTACAATCTCCCTCCTGTTATATATATCATGAAGAAGTTCGTAAGTCTGGTCATGGAAGAAGATGTCAATATGTAGTAAAACGTACAGGTAAATTGTACATGTTGTTCTTTCAACAGCAATAAAAATATATTAAAATATAGCAAAAAACTTCAGTAAGCATATTTAAGAACTTGTTTTCTTTTCCAACATTCAGAATTCAGTAATTTGGTGCATATATGAGAACGATACTCACCAAATTGCTCTCACAGACATATATACACCTATGTATTGATAATCACTGGACAGAGAATACTTGATAAAATGAAAGAAATAAAGAGTTCTTCCAGTGGACCTTTTCTATAACATCTGAAGGGACAGAAAAGGAATTATTTCTTTTCTACCTTTCACTTCTATTCCAGATGTAGTGATACACTTTACAGTTTTCAAACATCAATTCTGGTAATAACTGGAATAAGACTAAAAGGTAAGTATTTCCTTGTCCGAGATTTACAAATAGTAAAAGATTCATCTCAGGTAGATTTATGGAAGCTTGCAAGTTATTGAATGGACAATGACAAGAAAAGCTGCATGCAACAAACATGCCCCACTCCAACTACTTTACGGTATTTGCCCTGTAATGAGAAACACAGACATTCTTTGAGTGAATGTACTTTAAGGAGATAGTACCTGAGCTCTGAACGTTGGCAGATGGTCTTCTCCTCGCCTTGCAAAGTCTTTGTACCCAAATCCAGGATCTTCAATATAGCGGGAGACATCCGTAGAAACTATTTCATCATCAAATGCTGTGAATAAAACAGCAAAATGCTTCCTTTTAGGCAAGCATATGAGTTAGTGCAGACTTCCAACTACCACTCTACTACAGGACTAGAGAACAATTTTAGAAGTTGTGCAAAGGAAGAGCGCAGTAAGAAGGAAAGAAACACCTCAATCCCAATCTGCTTGTATGGGTACCATTCATTTCACTGAGCCAACTAAATGTTAGCCTACACCAGACATCTAATGTGCTTGTACAAAATGGGAAGAGATGGGCTAAACTTATGTTTGGAGGTGTGCTTTTCTCTTTGTTGACTTTGGAGGGAGGCTATGTATCATAAATTAGGAAGATGAATCTTGTCAGAAAAGTCTTTGTGCTAGGGTAAGAAACAGAAAATGTACCTGTGACAACAGGATTGCTACGCTGAGCAGGTATGGCATCAGGAATTAACATGAACTCTGTTTTGTAACCCAGAGTATGAGACACCAGAAAGCAGTGCAACACTCCATTTGTAAATACCAGTTAGAGATTATGTGAAAGCAAAGAGCTCTACAGTACATCAGGCTGAAATTCTGACAGAAGCTCTAGTAACTAAGCATCTTCAGAGAGCTCCAAAATGTGTCACTAAGCAAGTGCAGGTTCTCTATCAGGAATCAATCTTTCCCTCATGAATAAACAGGTGGCTTGATTGTGTAGCTACCTCTGCAGAAGTTGACTACTGCACAGCTGACTGCATTTGACCCTGATGTTAAAATCCTGGCTCGCTTCCACGTGCATTGACAGAACAGTTGCCATATGTCCACTGTTAGCACCTTGAAAAGTCAGTTAACCTAAGAATTGCAGCAGTGCTTTATCTCCTCTTCACCTCATTAAACAATCAAAACATAACTGGTAGGAAGAAGCTCGCACAGCATCTGCTATCACAATGCAGGCAGTGGACCAGCACAGCAGTATGATCACTCAGAATGGAAGGTTAGAAATCTCCTTTCCAGGTGGGCAGTAAATAGTGAAGAAGTTGAGTCTCATTCCAATCTATTTCCTGAACTAAATATCACACCTGAAGGCTACTTATGAGTGTGATTTAAGTTCTAAGAACTGTAGGACATAAACTTGTGAAATATTACGGAATATTTTAATGAATGAACTATTTTTAAGATACAGGGCCATATAAAGAAAGAGAAATGTATACCCAACATTTAAAGAAGCCTACAGGCTTTTATTTTTAAATATACAGAAGCTAAATTTCAAGTAGCAAAAAGGATGGTCTTATTTGCCAATCAAGAAATTTGAAGTAGGCAAAGCAAGTGACAGGACCGCCCTTACTACAATCCTACTAGACCAAGAGCCAGAATAAAGAAATGAACAGAAAAATCACTGAATTGGTCTCAAATGTTCAGTTCTTACAAAGCACAAACAAAACAGAACTGGAAAAGCACAAATACCTCCACTAATAACTAGCAGACTCTCCTTCTTCTCCTTTTCAAAGCGAGTTGCCATTTCTTCCTGAGAGGCTTCGTCGTCCTCTTTATCTTCTTGTAGCCTCTTCATCCTTTCCATTAAGGCCTCCAGCTCACTTAAAGAATCTGCAATCTGCAAAAACACCATGACATTCTGCAAAATTAGAAGATAGACAACGTGTGTCATCTTCAGATTTCATGCTTGACAACAAACGTTCTCAAAAACAGCAGCAGCAAACAGGAAAACTCAAGCCACGGTGCCTTTTGTCACATACAGCACAGACAGACAGCTTTCACACAGTCAGAAGAAGGGGGCTGGGAAGCGTCAGTCTAATCTATTGCAGTGATTGACTGCAGTTGGATTAGCAGTGGAAGAGGTGGTATTTGAATATGGAAAGGGTAGCCACTTATAATATGTATATTCCAACATGTAGGTGGCTCAAGAAAAGCCATCTGTGTGCCCTACAGGTATCAGAAAACAACTTTTTATACTAGTATAATTTATCTCACTTTATTGGTAATTCAGCATAGGTTTCTGAAGAGAGACAGTGCAGCACTGCAATACAGGAACACAACCTAAGAAAGCAAACCAGTGTTTTCTTTTTCTTTTTCTTACAAGTGATTAAAATAGCCATTATGTTGACCCTTTTTCTTGCCGTTGTGATGAAAACAGTACATCAGAGTTTGGGGTTCTGTGATATGTACTTATCACTCAATTTTTTCATAAGATAAATTGTTTGGGTTTTCTTTTCCATCTCTTCCTTTTGATTCTGTACTTCTGCCCATAGCTGTAATTGTTTTCTAGTGCACTGTTCACTGCTTAACAAGCAGCACAGTCAGCAGCAACTCTTTGCCCGCAGCAAATGGAGAATGAGCCATGCTGGTGATTGGAGCTAGCATATTTTACAGCCCAGAAATTTAAGATAGAGCAATTGAACTGACTGATCACATGTTCACATTGTACTGCCAATTTAAAAAAATATTTCTAGTGACTCTGCTCATAATCTCAATCTTCCATCAAGGCAATGGATTCATCAATCAGCATTAACTCAAGGACATGTCTTCAAAGCATTATAGAGCCACTTTCAGAAAAAAAACCCCACATTTAAGTTAATTAAGTAGTAATCAAAGTTCTATGTTGTTTGATTCAAGACTGGAACAAGCATGAAGAACTAAGTACTTTTATTTCAGACATTTCCTCCCATCTACATCGAAGTGTTTCCAAATTGACTTGTTTTGCGATTGTAGCCCTTGACTTCAAAACTATTATTATGACTTCTGGTTTTTATTCCCCATTTCTTTTTTCATTCCACATGTTAGGAACATGGATGACACAATACTCCAGTCACACTATATGACACACTATATGAGGAAACTGGGACTTTAGCTTTCAGCTGAAAGTTTTAGTCTTGCCCAAAGGGTTGTGAGATTAACCATCAAAATCACATTGCTCTGCCAGTCACTGTTACAATGCGGTTTTCAATAGATTGCACTGAAAACTGTTAGAGCTAACCTAAGAGTTACCAGACCAAAGCATTCCAGTAGACAAAAACTTTCAAATTATCCTGAAATTTAAACAGGAAAAAATGGAAGAAAGATTTCTAATGCAAAACAGAGGCAAGCAAAAGAATCTTCTTGCGACACTAACCCCAAAGTTGCTACTTGTGAGGGATGCATTTTCTATGTTGTTGTCATTGGCAAGATCACAGACACAGAAGTTGTTGACTGCTATAAGTCTGACTCCATTAGATGTATCCGGATCTCTCTCTGGATTAATGCCACTACCAAATACAAAACTTGCCAAGGCATGATAATGTGCCAACAGGACAACAGCATGCACCAGTTCAGGAAGAGACCAATTATTTTCCCCAGTCTTGACAAGTTTCTGAAATGAGAACAAAAGAAGTGTAAATACAAAATTTCTTCTGGCGCCCAGCTTTACTATAGAACACTATGTATTTTGAAAAGGGATCAATTCCTTTCTTCCAATAATACCATATTCCTCTTGCACACAAACTCTCACTGGATAAAAAAAGAGACACCTAATATATTACCTCTTTCCTTTTGAGTTTATTTTAGCCGATGCTATCCCTAAAAAGCAAATCCTGTTAGCTTTGTCACGCAGAAGAATTTATTGGCTTACTCAATCCTCTAGCACTTCCTTGCATTTTTTAACTCAAGGTAATGAAGGCTAACCAGACACTTGTGTAGTTCTTAGCAGTTCTTATTACTGGTCATTTACTGCTATTACAGGGCATGACTTAGCAGGTACCTGAATGTGGTCTTTTGTGATCAGCCAGGGCCGGTGTGCAAGGAGTTTGTTTATTTCATTCAGATTTTTCAGTCTTTGGGGAATGTATTCTAAACCATTCAACCAATCTGCAATCCCGCCAGTCTTCAAAAACTCATCAACGTGCATATTTATTAGGTAGGAACACTGATGTCTGGCAGCAGCCTGGAATAATTAAACACAGAGGGAAAAGGGCAGCACATTAGCATATAATCTGATTTTGCTGCAGGTGGAAGACAGGTTACTAACACAAAAAAACCTCCAAAACAATTTCATTTCAAAGGGTCATCTTTTATATCACAATGCATTTCTATACAGTATGTAGGATTCTTCAATAAAAATACATTGGATTGCTTTACTCTGAATTGCAGAACCTAATCCATCACAGTGGAGCTGACTTAGACCAGGTTGCTTGGAGCCTTCTCCAGACAAGATTTCCATCCATCCTTGGAGGTCACACAACCCCTCTTGGCCCCTGTTGCAATGTCTCAACATCCTCGTGGCAAAAAGTGTTTTCCTAGCATCCACCTGGAATTTGTTGTGACTGCACCTCAGCCTACTGCTGCGCACTGGTGGTTAAATACCCAGAAAGAAGGCTATGTGGTTTTAGTCTCTCTCTAAAACCTCACTCTTGTGGCATGTGAGAAGTGTATCACTGTGGGAAACAGGGAAACGTACATTGCCAATTCTCCCTTCCAATTGAAAACCTTCTGGCTAGGCATGCTTTATTTTGATGAAAATCAACTACAAAAATTCAGCCCCTGTCAAAATATCACACTGGTCTCTCTAAAGTCTTCCTTTTTTCTTCTTTTTTAAATACACAGATCAAGGTTGCAGAAGAAAATATACAGCTTGTTGGTACATACCATTATAGCAATGTAGTGCCTATAGGGCAAAGGAAGGGGCCCGTCCATGCGCAGCATATAGAACTGGCTGCGGAGGAAAGACTCCAGGTACTGAGTGTGGATACTCATGACCTGCGTGATGTTGTCCAGGCGACCAGACGTAGAGTACTCTTCCACAAGAAGATTAGTACGTTCATTCAAACCATTTGCTTGCATAACCTTAAAAATAAGATGGACAAACTTAACACAGGAAGATATTTTTCTCCAGCTTTAGCCCTGGAGAGAAACATACTGCAGTATGAAAGGTTTGCTTGTGTACAAAGTTAAAGGCAATGCTGGAGATCCAGATGTATATTTGTCAATATACATGCTTGCATGCGTGTGAACACACATATACAGATGTCACTTGTATACTGAGAACTAAAGAGCACTTTACACTGTACCGCTGTTATTTCAGTGTGTTTCTACAAAAACTAGAAGCATTTTTCTGTAGATCTTTCCAAAATGGCTCCACTCATGGATGCTTAAAGTGAAATCTGTACAGAGAGCTGGAAGTAACCAAGAGCTAAATGGAAAGTAGTCTTTATGGAAGTCAGCCTGTATAGACACACACCACCTAAGCGTTCAGCCCTAAAACCAATTTCAAAATTAATGGAGAGGAACTAGGTTATGTAACCAAATTACAGAAACAGCCTGGCAATCTACCCCTTCTGTGCTTGTATAATTGAAGAGGAGATCAAATGCTAATTTGTCCATAACATTCAAGTATTATTTAGAATAGGAATTTAATGCTTTCTCTAAACAAAAGCTGTTCTTTAATTATTCAAACCAATCCAAACCTTGGGCACAAGATGAAATGAAACAGCAAAAGAGCAAGTAGCTCTTGCATTGCAAGCCCTGACACAGTAGTAATGGTATTACTCAGTGTTTACCACCAAGAACAGCCATTCTCAACATGTTCACCACTGAAGTTACAAGCACAAGACTTGAATACTCAGTATTTATTCTCAAGCTGCACAGTATTAAACTAGCCAGCTTACTATTGCAAACATCACGAAATGAGAAAATATTTTAGTTAGTTTACCACACAGGAAGACAGAAAGTGCCTAAACCCAAGAAGACAAGATGCTTTTGTTGAAATATTCTATTTAAAATAAGTTTTCCTTCTTTATGATGTGCTGGCAAATGGACCGTGTCTCAAATATATTTCCATTAAATCTTGTATAGAAGTTACATACAAAGAAACACGAAGAACATACTACATTTTCACTTCTCACCAGTGTACTTCCCTGTTTTAATTTGTGGGCCCAGAAAGAAAGGGAAGAAGCAGCCATGAGCTCCATCATTTTTACATGTGTAGCTCTTCACTATCACAGCTTTTGTGTTCTGTACCCAAAATGATGCCTCCTCTGTTTTCCTTAAGAATGTTTTTACCATTGGAAGTCGGTTCACACATTAGAGAACATTTTATCTCACTTGTCACATTATATCCACTCCACTCCAAGGAGTAGCCCTTATTCTTCAGCAAGTGTATCTCCTATGTATTTAAGAGATCTCTGTCTCATTTAGTAGTTTCTTGGGGAAATCACATCTTTTTTGTCTCTGGTAAGGCTTCTAATCTTCTCCAGCTTGTCAGGAATTTTCCTTGTTAAAAGTATGAGTTATGGAAAAGAAATTCTGCTGACAAAATTGAAATACAAACCTGCAGGACTGCACTGCTGCTATATTAGGCATAGCAATATGCAGCATTATCGCTTCTGAGATTTATCTCCACCCATATTGCTATCCTCTTCCTACTGCATATGCACTTCCTCCTGATTTATTACCATCCCTGGATTCACAAACATGTTTTTTTATTCTGCTTGTAAAACCTGACATCACTTTAACAGGAACCTTTACAATTAAGTTGCTATTGCTCTGTCCATATTCCTTCCACTACGATTAAAAGCATGCTTTGACACGAGCAGTATTATTATCAAGATTTGTGAGACATTCAATGTGTTGTGTTACCAATCTCTAACTCCATCCTTCCTATCCACTGTATTATTTCATGCCAAGGAATGGGGGAAAAAGTAGTCATTCACTTAACAAACAATATTTAACATTAGCTCATAATACTGAATAGCTGTTTTAATCCACTCAGGTGAGGTTCCCTTCTTGTGCTGGGTAACTGCTGGGGTTACTCCTTTCTGAGACCTACTCAGTGACTCCTCCTGCATCCTTGGCCAGCACCTTTATCAAGTGATTCAGCTGGGAAATAAATTCATTAACAATTCTCTCACAATATTTTATAGTTTTAACTACATTTCTTTTTCTACTTTTTATACCATTATTGTCTTTAGGAGAAAAATTAAGTCATTATGAAGTTCGGCATCTTGATTTCATCTCGTATTTCATACGAAAGAGAAGTCCTCTTCAGAAGTTTTGCTGGCTGAAACTCATTCTGCTCCCCTCTTCCCAACACTAACAGACTCTTTTTGACTTCTCTTCCTTTTTGCTTCATTATTTTCTTTCAGCCTTTACACTGTCTCTGTTTATTTTTAGATTGAAACCTTGCTGGTGTATAAATGGAGAGAGACTCAGAGAGCAGCAACTATTTCATCTTTCAAAATGTCTTTTCTGGCCCCTCTAGCATGAGAATTATCTGCCTTTAGCAATCACTTAAAATAAAACAAAAAAAATGTCCTGGTTTTATAGTCAGCCATCCCAAATAATTAATTGATCAATAAATAATACTTTGTGAAGACTGAGATCATAGGAGACCACCACCACAGCAAAGTTTCTACTTACTGCAGCAAGCTGCAAATCAAGCTTAAGTTTAACATTAAATCATGGGCAGAAATCTTGAGTTTGAAGTCAAACCATACCTTTAAATTCTCTCAAGAGCCACAGTTACGGTCTAGGGAGTTAGTCATATTTGCAGGTTCTCTCAAACTGAAGGTCAGACATTGCCCTGAGAGCTATATAATCACACTGCTGCAACACTAGAGAGGCCTCCCCTTAGGTCTGGCATTAAGAGTAGGAAGCGATCATCCCCCAAGAGGAGAGGGAGCCAGCACTCATGGCTGTCTTAGGAGCACTGGTGACAGATACCAGACAGCACCACCTGTGTGAAAGGGCAGGGCACTTCTTACCCACCAGAGCCTACTCTGGAGAAATCAGCACTTTTGCTCATATAGGGGCTGATCTGGGTACCACTGGGCAAGCAGGATCATAAAACCATCCTTCAGTATTTCCATTTTAAAAGCTACCGTCTGCCCAGCCCAGCTAACCACAAACTTACTTCATTCTCTGGTATAAAGGCACTTGGTCCTCTTGTCAACGGCGGGGAGACTTGTACTCTTTTTTCCTGCAAAACAGTCACATAATTTGGTCATCATCAGGAATAACATATTAACTTGCTTTATTTTGCAAGAGGAGATCTTCAAGGCCTGGATTTGGTTCTCTTCCCAAGGCCACCTGGGTGTTTTACAGCCCACTGAGGAGGTGAAGCCATCACATCATGTCGGTTATGTCCACTTTGCAGCCCCTGTACTTCATGCAAATGAAAGGCACCAATTTTCATAAGGGATAAGACAGAAAAAAACGCGCAAAATCTAATCCTGATTGGTTTGCAGACCAGCTTGAAGATACACAGACAACAGTAATAAAATACTTGGCATGATGTTAAAAATAGCCATTTACTGGATTGAATGGAAGTTCGGAAAGCATAAGGGAAAAAAAGCCACACTCGGGAAATTATAAGCAAGACACTGTTTTCTTCAATATCAGCATCCACTGAGATCCTCAGCATTGAGAACAGTGTAAGCACTTTGTGTGCCAAATATTGGCATAAACCCACAATCCACAGAAATCAGCAAGACCAAATTGAAGACTTGTCCTAGAAACCCCCGAAACGGCCGCCTTGCTCAGCTGCTGAGCCTTTAGAACTCCACACGTGGTGTAAGCCTTGGTGTGCAAACCCCAGCGAGGAGACACAAAACCCCCTTTGAGGTGATACATTTAGTTCAGAACGGACTGATAGCATAACAAGAGCCAGAGGACTTCTTTGATTTATTAAGGATAAGCAACTGAACTAAGATGAACTGTGAGGCTTTCACAGCATGGCCAGCAGCCAGAGGGGTGAAGTGCACCTGGGGACTTGCCTGCTCCTCTGGTTCGCCAGGGACAGGACCAGCACTGTCCACGTTGCCCAAAGTTGGTCTAACCTCCTCTTAAAGATCCTCCTGGAGGTTCTCCCGTCTCCCTGGGTCATTTATTTAGTGACTAACTCCTCTGATTGCTAGAAAGTTTTCCTAATGTCCAACCTGAAATTCCCTTGCAGTAATTTAAAGGTGTTGCTTCTTGCATTTTCTTGTTTTCCTCTTCATGATTATATTCCACCTACCTGGAAACTATGGCTGCACATTTTCTCAGCTTCCTAACTGCACCTTGGCGTTGGTGACTCTTAATAAGTCATCCATTAACAGCAGCATCGGATTTGCATACTAAATATTCTGTGCCCCTAACATAAAAGTCTGAAGTTTTCCATAACAAATAACCCTTAAATACCTCTACTGGGGGGCTTAAGCTTAACTGCTATGTGCACAAACAGCAGTGCTGGTCCCAGAAGGAGTGTGCTACCGATTTCCACACAGGAAAATAAAGCCACTGGAGCCGCGTAACTATTGTCCTGTTCCTTAAAAAGATCCTGTCCTTTCTAAATTAGATTAGAAAATACATGCAAAAATCAGCAGTGATTATTCAGGAAAGATGTTCCAAAGCAAACTCTCACAGGACAATTAGATTCGTGACTCTGGAATAATTAGCAGCTAAAAGATGCAGAAATAAGCTGGATCCACTGTGTGAAGCCCAGCAGCCAGAAGACAGCTTACTGCAACCGCTGCCTGCTGTTACAGCCCCCAAATCCCGTATAATACTTCTTATGAATCAAATGTACTCAGTCTAAAGAAGAAAGGGTGTAGAGAGATGGGGTATCTGTACATACAACCCCTTCCTCGCACAGCTACATAAGGCACAGGAAGACATCTTCTAGCTTTAAATACACAATGTTGCTAGCAGCCAGCCATTTCTGCCACCAAGAAAAAAAATAAACGCTTTTCAAGATTAAGGTTGCATTTTACTTAGTTTACAAAGGTTATCTGGATATTAGAGTTTAAAATCTTCATTTCATACTGAACAATCTGGAGGAAGCCGCTTGTGTGAGCCTGACAACTTGCAGAGCTGCAACTGTCAGCTTTGGCTGGAGCAGAGGTCTAAACCAGAGCTGAACCACTGCCTTCTCCATCTTCCTCTCACCTATACCCTCCTTCTTCAGGCCCTGCAAAGCTAGTCCTCAAGACCAAAACAGGGCAAAAAACTGCATATGCTTCTTCTAGCAGGATCTGGGCTCCATTCCCGTGTTTCCCCATTCAATGTGACTGCTGCTACTCCTCTTGACCCTGCAGATAAGCTACTGCTGAGAAGGAGAGGAGGAAACGGTACTTGGGTGGATGAATGTAGGCAAATATTTCCGATTAACTCCTGTGAATGACGACAGAAAGCCAAGGAGATAGCCAGACATAAAAAACAAGGTGTGATACATATACTACAAAAAGGACAAAACACAGCTCCTTTTGGGCAGTGGTAGTTCCAAAAAACCACAAGCCTGGGAAAAAACAGACAACCAACCAAAGCAGGAACAAAAAAACCAAAGCCCCTAACATGACAGTTCAAACTGGTGAGTCTAATCACAGCACAGTTCCAGGTAGCTGGGCTTCTTTCTCTATTAGAGGTGTATACTCTTCCTTCCATCAACACGGAAGATTACTTCACCTTCACACCTAAGGTTTTATTTTATTAAAACTGGTTAAAAGAAAGCTTGTCAGAAGAAAAGGAGCACACATCATCTGGTTGCACAACTTCTCAGGGTGCTATTAAAAAAACATGGGAAGTTTGCAAGTATTAAGAAAGATAAAACTGGCTCTGCTGAACTGTAGATAAGAACCTCTGCTTCTGGGCACGCTTTATCTAGAGCAGTGATTTAAGGCCTACCCAAGAACCCAAATATGAGAAACCTACAAAGCACCACTGCAGATGCATGGTACTTTACAGTGAGAGTTCTTGCAAAGCTTCATTATTTCCCAAGAAAGTGGGTTCATTTTCCTGTCTAACTAGTCCTTGCAGGTTACACTAGCTATTGGTAAGTCAGCTGGGGTCCCTAACTTCTTATCTGAAGTTGGATTCTTATGCTAAGTGGCTGAAGCAAGAAACAGGTTGCTCAGCAACCAAAGTGCCGTACACACATACACCAGTCATCTTCTGCGTCAGGTTCCTCCAGAAACACATTGCCAGAGTACAAATAAGTTACCTTAAAAGGTTTGCAACGAATTCCACTTACATTTAAAGTAGAGAGTCTTTTTGGGGTGCTTTGGAAGGAGAAAGATGATGAAAAGCTTCAAAGATAAGCAAACTGAGCTGCAAGCAGGTTACTGGGAGAGGGGCCACTGCAAGCCAGTGCCTAGAAGCAGGTTTTGCAGCAGCACACTGCGGTGTCGGACAGCAGGATGAGACCTCTGCAGACCACAGAGAGCTGCTGCAGGAGATCATGAAAGAAGGGGCCTGACTATGACTTTATCTATGACTTGCTTTCTCTTCTTAAGTGTTGGGAGCTAAATATCAGCAATTTTAAGGGTGACAAAGTGGAACTATTTCCCATTTTCACATCTGTAATGTGAAAGAAACACCTCCATCCTTGCGTGAGCTCTGCCCAAACCCTTCGGAGACAAAAGCAGTGACTTGCCATCTCATGGGTTTATTTTTGGTTGTGGCAGTGACCGCACACATTCTCTCCAGAGCCAAGAGGCTGTGGACACTGGGACATGGCACCTGCATCTCAAATAGCTGCTGGGATGAGACAGGAAACAAGGGGGTACCAGAGCCACTTGGCAGGCAATGTGGCCGTGAAGCCCAGGCTGGAGTGAGTGTGAGCTCAGCTGGTGCTGGGGCAGCACAGCCGCCTTCCCAAATTTCCCAAAAATTACCCTTCTTCCTCCTCGCTATCACATGAGTCACTGTGTCCTTGGGCTTTAAAGAAATGGCTATTTTTAGCAAGCTGTAGAAGGAGGCTGTTTGATTTGAGAACAGAGCTGCTAGCTGGCAGGGCCGATGGCACAGCCGCTTTGGAAAGTACTTTCGAATACCCATGAAGGCAGAAAGCACAGGTAAGAAGGAAGTGGTTGCACTGATGTGGGTAGACGGGGGCTTCTCACACACGTGGTGCATAAAAGCTAATTCATCCTGAACTCGACATCAAGGTGGTCATGCAGCAACTGGAAAAAAACAATCACTGGGAAGAAACATTTTGCACCTCAAGAGGGAATTTTCTCGTGTGCCTGTGAACTCTCAGAGCAGTGTAAGTGGCTGGGAAACACCTGTGAAGGGGCTCAGAGCCTCCACCCTGACAAAAACTGCTGTCACTATAAAGGCATCAGGATAATAAAGAGCACTAGATCAAATATAAATCCAAAGGGCATCCTAAAGATAACTTATCCTGAGGGTAAAACTCTTTTTTCCAAAACAAGCAAGATTTTATTTGGGGGGGAAGGTGATGTGGATGTATTTCTTATTTATTACACCTCTTCATATATTATAATCTACAAGCAATTATGCTACCATCTAACATTTCTAAGGATCTTTGTTATTAACATCAGTGGTCTATCTCTTTGTAACACACATTATCACCTGTGGCAATAATCTAAAGTCCATCACTGGGACACCTACATGGAGACATCTCAGTTTCTACAAGGTTCCTGAACTCCTTCTCCAGCCAAAACTGAGAGCAAGGTGCAGTGCCATTAAAACAGGAGTTGAGCACCATTCAAGACTCTCTGGAGTCTCGTGCTTGGCATCCAACCACCACCCCATACGTATGTACAGTATCTGCCAGTCTCTATGGATGCCCTGGATACCCTTAAGCATCCAAAATGGTACTTAATGCAGGTGTTGGGCACCATGGCGCTGCTCACAGCACCTGGAGTGCAGTTTGGGTTACGCTCAAACCTAGTGACTGGTGAGCCAGGTTACCTGCTGGGCATTGCTGGCTGTGCCGGGTGTTTGGACACTGAGGGTGGGAGTGGAGAACTGGGTTTAGGACTCCCTATCTGGGGCTAAATTTCCGCAGTTTTATCTTGCAGTTCTTCAAAATACACCAGTTCAATCTCATGGACCTGATGCTACAGACCCCACTTCTGCTTTTCACTCTGGCACACACAGACGCCTTGTACTTTAGTTCACATGGCACAGGTGCTATTTGCTGCTGCTGCTGGATAAAATCCTGTCTACAAATTGGCTTCTCCTGACCTG